ACTTTGCTGTAACAGAGGTAGAACAAGAAACCTTTCAAGGATCATTTTTATAGTAAAAGTTAGATGTATGTTTTGAAAAAAACTGAGGGACCAGTTTCCCTCCCCCTATACTGTATGCTAGATATATATGTTTGGAACAAACAGTGTGTCAATATGAACTCTAAATAAAGAATAATCTCCATCATAAAGCAATTATAACATAAATAAAATCTTGTCCAGCGATTTAAATAGATTCTTTAAGCAAAACATTGGATCTGAAAATTACATTTAGTTACTTATCTCTCATTTATAAAATAACTTTTAAAATATCATAAATATAGCTGTCGTTTACCAGTAGAAGGCAGAAGCACAGGAATTTGTGGACAGGACCCCCCCCCCCCCCCCCGATATTAAACCCCGTAGCTTATTAGACATGTACATGGACGTGTATAATATGAATAAATTTCCAAAACCCCAAAATTATCGCTCCACAAAAAAAATACTCCAGTATACATCTCTCTTATAACATATAGGGTTTTTTTTGGTGGAGCGATTATTTTGGGGTTTTGACGATTTATTCATATTGTTCACGTAGTAATGATTAATATTTATTTTCTCGACTATAGTTGTACATCAGTCCAACCGGAATTCGCGTTTGAGTGGAGAGCAAAAGTGGCGAGCTAGGATATATCGCTCGAGGTTCCTGGAGAAACTCTTGAGAATCAGTATTTACTTTATTTTGGCACCAAAAATGAAAGTAGTTTTAACTTTAAATTATCCGTGTTTGACACTGAAAACTATTCATGATTGCTTGATAAATAAATTTGATTTAAAAAAAAAAAAGAAATATTCTGATCCTTCTTTGAAATTTCGACAGTGAAACTTAAAAATCGTACGTTTTAAACAAAATTAAAGAGAGAATGTAAAAATGTTTTCCATTATGTACCAAATCATCGAACCTGTTCGATGACGTATTCATTTTGAATATGGATTTAACTTTAAAATAACCAAAAGATTTTGATAAGTATTTCTCGTTTATTAATTAACCTATTCACTTCACCAAAAAATATAAGCAATATTCTTTTTTTGTAATATGCACACTAGGCGGTACAAGATCGTTCTAGTATTAAAGCAATAACCTACTGCTATCCTCAAAGTTTTATTCTGAATTAAAATCGCCTGCTCAAATTTGCACATTTTTAGATAGATTATACAAAAAAGTAATTAATTATTAAAGACGATGAAGACAAATATAACTTCTTAAAATCATTTATTTTTGATTTGGCGATTGCGGCCACGACCTACATAATACAATATATATTTTATTAATATAACATAACTCTTTAATTATAAACCTTATCCTTATAAACCTTATCCTTATAAACTTTATATCCTTATCCATTTTTAGATAGATTATACAGAAAAGTAATTTATTTTGTTTTGCAATCTGGAGCAAAATTTAAAATTAGAATATTATAGCCCAAAATCTCACGATAAATATTGTGAGTTTAAGCGAAAAACAAAAAATACTTAGAGCATTTCAGACCTTTTTTGTGTTTGTGATTTTAGTGACACATGGACAAAAAGGACAATTATTCCCGATGATGTCTTTCAAAATAATACACAAAGTATTACAAGTCCTCTCTCAAAGTATCGTGCTGAAATAGTAAAACTGTAAACAAATACATGTATGTAGCTTTTAAAATTTCTCGTTAACGTTGCTATAATTATTAAATAAATATTAAAATGAAAAAACATTAAATCATGGACCCTTAATCTTTAACCTGTATGACGCCGACGATATACATGCTCTCATCGTAAAGGTGAGCTAAAATTTCCCTTTTTTTACTTTGCTAAGCCATTACGAGAACCACAATCTGACTGGTAGGAAGCAATTTTAGTGTGCGTTTGTTTGGGGGGATGGGGGCTGCACAAATATTTTCAGGGAGGGGGGCAATACCAAGCAAATATTCCTTGACAAGCAGAAATGGAAGGGGGCATCTATGTTGAAAAAAGGGGAGTACAGCCCCAGAAATAATTTTTAAAAATTCAACTTACCCGAAAAAAATTGTCCAAATATATACTCAGTAATCCTATTCCAAAAGTGTGTGGTGGAGGGGGGCTTTCAATAAACAATTTATATAGTTAAAAAAATGTCTGGAAAAAAAGGGGGTGGCCAACCCCCCAACCCCCACCCCTATGATATGTGCCTGTTTATTATTGAGTGTGCCTGTTTATCATTGAGCGTCGGAAATAAAGTTACTGTAGCTGTTACCGATACTGCTCTGTATCAGCCTTTAAAATACAAGAGCTCTTGAACTTATTTGATAAGAAATACATGTATGCATGTTATAAAAGGACACTTTTATTAACTACATGTAATATCGCATTACATTATGTTTTTATTATTTTAAAAGATTATATTCATTATGGTATGATTTAAGCTAGGACTTACACAAGACAAAGGTGTCTCGCCTGCATGGCGCAGTGGTTAGAGCGTCTGCTCTAGATTTGCAATTAATTGGGGTTAATTGATCCTTACGTCACAGGTTCGAATACAACTGTGGCACGTGGATACCGATCCTTCGGATGAAACCAGTTCCCTTGATGCAGCAGATGTTTGCACGGAAAAGATCCCTCACTTCTCCATGTCCGTACGTGCCAAATATAGGACAAAATTTGCAGGGACATTAAACAACATGTACCAACAAACAAGAAAAGGGTTTTTTGAAGACCTTGTACATACGGTTAAAATTTTTGGACTTGCACAGTTTGAAAATTAAGAAACTGAGGATCTTACACACATGGTAAAACTTTAGGGACAAGATCAAGATATATATATATATACATGTACGTGTATATAGAAATTAGGGACTTACTTAAGATTAAGATATAAAAAGAAATTGAGGATCTATACACATATAAAAGTTTTAGGGACTTATACATGATAAGGCTAATAAAAGAAACTGAAGACTTTATACATATATTTATAGAAACTGAGACCTTATACACATACCTAATGTTTGGGGACTTGAATAAGATAAGAACATTTATAGAGACTGAGGACCTTATACACATGTTAAAAGTTTGGGGACTTACACATGATATAGGTATTAATAGAGACTGAGGACCTCAAACACATGTTAAAAGTTTGGGGACTTACACATGATACAGGTATTTATAGAGACTGAGGACCTCATACACATGTTAAAAGTTTGGGGACTTACACATGATACAGGTATTTATAGAGACTGAGGACCTTATACACATGTTAAAAGTTTGGGGACTTACACATGATACAGGTATTTATAGAGACTGAGGACCTTATACACATGTTAAAAGTTTGGGGACTTACACATGATACAGGTATTTATAGAGACTGAGGACCTTATACACATGTTAAAAGTTTGGGGACTTACACATGATACAGGTATTTATAGAGACTGAGGACCTTATACACATGTTAAAAGTTTGGGGACTTACACATGATACAGGTATTTATAGAGACTGAGGACCTTATATACATGTTAAAAGTTTGGGGACTTACACATGATACAGGTATTTATAGAGACTGAGGACCTTATACACATGTTAAAAGTTTGGGGACTTACACATGATACAGGTATTTATAGAGACTGAGGACCTTATATACATGTTAAAAGTTTGGGGACTTACACATGATGCAGGCATTTATAGAGACTGAGGACCTTATACACATGTTAAAAGTTTGGGGACTTACACATGATACAGGTATTTATAGAAACTGAGGACCTTATACACATGTTAAAAGTTTGGGGACTTACACATGATACAGGTATTTATAGAGTCTGAGGACCTTATACACATGTTAAAAGTTTGGGGACTTACACATGATACAGGTATTTATAGAGACTGAGGACCTTATACACATGTTAAAAGTTTGGGGACTTACACATGATACAGGTATTTATAGAAACTGAGGACCTTATACACATGTTAAAAGTTTGGGGACTTACACATGATACAGGTATTTATAGAAACTGAGGACCTTATACACATGTTAAAAGTTTGGGGACTTACACATGATACAGGTATTTATAGAGACTGAGGACCTTATACACATGTTAAAAGTTTGGGGACTTACACATGATACAGGTATTTATAGAGACTGAGGACCTTATACACATGTTAAAAGTTTGGGGACTTACACATGATACAGGTATTTATAGAGACTGAGGACCTTATACACATGTTAAAAGTTTGGGGACTTACACATGATATACAGGTATTTATAGAGACTGAGGACCTTATACACATGTTAAAAGTTTGGGGACTTACACATGATACAGGTATTTATAGAGACTGAGGACCTTATACACATGTTAAAAGTTTGGGGACTTACAGAAGATAATGGCATTTCTAGAAACAAAGGACGTTTGCACATGGTAAAAGTTTACAGACATAAATGTAATAAAGAGCAAGATTCACTGAAAGCTTTTTTTGGCCCTGTGAATTGTGAGAAATCAAAAGTACTCAGTTTTGGTAACCAATGCATCAGTTTATCATTTTGATACTTGGTGACTGTGTAATCTATTGAAATGGTGAAAAGAGCTAGGTTCACTTTATCCATAAAATGGCCCTCCATATATATACCAATTAACTGACCAAGTCTCAAAGTCCCATTTGAATTCTCTCATATCCTGAAAATTCCTTTTTTTTGCATTTTTAATATTTCAAGAAATTTGAAATCTTGTTTAACTTCCAATCTCAGGACTCTATAAAAAATCTTTGTTAAAGGAAATGAGAAATACTCCATACTTTATTTTGATGTTAGAAATGGGACAGGGGGTGATTTTCAAAGAACTAGTATAAGAACAGGACTATTTATGCATCAAACCCAACTCTTTATTATTCAATTCATCATAGTGTTTATAAAGAATGAAATATGTATTTTTGCATATAACTTGAACTGAAGAGATCAAACAATATTTTTTTTTTCAAAAATTAATGCTTAATCATTTTTTTGAGAAAATTTCCTTTTGCATAAAATATTTAATACTTCAAAATCATTTCCTACATACATCATGCACAGCTTCTTAAGCACTCTTCATTTATGCAAGTTTAGTCCATGTAGGTTATATGAGGCCATTCCAAGTTTTTTTCTTTGTTTAGCATCCAACCTTAATTTCAAAACATTTCTTTCCTTCCAAAAAAAAATCACAAACCAAAAGGGGAAAAAACAACATTTTACGCAAAGTTCTATAACTCCTTTAGCATCATTTGAGAATTTTCCTCATATTATAGCTAAATTAAACTACTACTACTACTAGTTTAATGAAACAAAAAAAAAAAAAAAAAAAAAAAAAAAAAAAAAAAATTTAGCACATCACTTTTAAAAAAAGAGAGATGCTGATCCCAGAAGAGTAAATTGCTTGTCAAAGATTTGTATTTGTCAATTTTATTTTGTGTTTGTTCTTAATTTGCATGACCTCAATACCAATCCATCTGCAGACACTACACACAGAAAAAAATTGGAATGGCCTAATGATAAAACTGCTGCAAAGAATTCAATGTCCTCCATTACTGTGGCTCTAAAACAGTGTTTTTCATATTTCTCAAAGTATATCAATTGAAAGTAGAATGTTAATCAAGATTTTCTCTGTTTTTAACAAGATTATATCCTTGGTGTTTTACACTTCTCTAAGGTCCTATTACAATTTTTTTAGAAAATCTTTTCCACAATGTCTGTTGATTAAATTAATTTTTCATGATGTCTTTGGGATTTTTTTGTATCTCTTGTCACTTGCATGTAGAATCTTCCACAGTAGATCTAGGATCAGAAATGACTTCTTCTTCCCTAAAATGAGATTTTCAGAATACAATTTTCCTTGGTTGGTGGTACAGTCTGTACAAAAAAAATAATAATAAAAATAGCTTTAAGAGTTAAAGCAATTTTTTTCAACTAAAATATAATCTGGCAGGAGAATGATTGTTTACTAGTATATTTGTGGTACATAGGTACTTTCTTTATTTGAATGGTCTGTGTACTTGAAAGCTTTGCTATATAAATTCACATCCAGTAAAATATTTTGTTGATTAGGAATTTAATCTCAGTTAACTCCTCCATCTCCATTCAGAAGACATATTTATGAAATGTTATGACTTTGAAATTGGTATAGTTCAATCAATGCAAATAACTTGTGTCTGAACTATACTCTGCCTAACTCTGGCCTATCCTTGAACAGAAACACCTGTTTGCATTTTAGACTAAAGCTCTACTAGTAATACTCAATATCAAGTCTTAAGAAAATTTTCCATGCATGTAGACTGGCTGGCCATGCTGAGTTTCTGCATATAATTTCAAGTTAAGAAACTTATTGCTTCAAATGGGTAATGCAGTGTGTATACAGTACCTGGAGTGACAGTATGGACATCCTGATTGTCTCGACTATCATCTATCTCCTCCTCACTCTTATTCTCATCACCCACACAAAAACAATGCCATCAGTTTCCTTTAGTGCCTCTGAAAAAATTGCAACTTAATTGTAAAATTACAAACATTTCAACCAGAATAAAATGTGTATGTATATGATAAACTTTTGAGCAATAATCAACAGCTTTGATCCCAGTAATTTCAAACAAGAGGTCCAGGGGCCACATTGCTCAACTGAGCAAATCAGCTAGGAAAAACCACAAATCAGATCAGGAAAAGTTTACTGAAAGGGGGTGGGGGGCTTAAATTAATCCTACTTTACAATGCCTTCATATAAACACAGCATATGACTTTACTATTCTTGATAAAAATATTTTTAAAAACATTTTCTTCCTATATATAACTTCGTAATAATTTGAATCTGATTCCCCATTGTTTCCCTTCTTGCCCCAAAGGGCAATAATTTGAATAAATTTAAATCCTAAATACATGAGGATGCTTATATGTCAATATGACTAAACATAGCTTTTCTGTTCTTGGGATTTCTCCCTTTATTTTTCTATGTAAACTTTGATTCAGAATTGTGGCCCCACCCTACCCTTAGGCGTTATAATGGTTTGAACAAATTTAATTCTACACTACCTGAGGATGTTTCAACATAAATATCACTAATCATGGCTTTGAAGTACTTGAGAAGACAATTTTAAAAGATTTCCCTATCTAGTCCTATGTAGAACTTTGATGAGCCATTTTGGCCCCACCCTACCCCCAGGGTCATGATTTAAACAAACTTGAATCGACACTACCTGGGGATGATTTCACATGAGTTTCATCTTTCCTGGCCCTGTGGTTCTTGAAAGGAATCAATTGGTTTGCGTGATAATTTGCATAAACGCAGAAGGCATTTATGCATTAAGTTATTATGCAAGCCAATCGATTGATCATTGTCATGAAATTGAAAATGACAGTTATTCTTTATATTACATAGAATTGATTCCGCCAATAATTGTGCTACAAGCTCTCCTTCTTGTCTCTATATTTGTTCCCCCCGCACGTGATTTTTTTTTTAGCAATGAACAAGTATATCGATGGAGGAATAAAGTGCATTAATTTGACTATTTGTAATTGTCTCTTGAACAAAGACATTGGAAACGAAAATATAATTTGACACAGGAATGAATTTAGATTTATATTATCTGAAATAAATTCAAAACATTTATCAATACGGATAAAGGTTATTTGTATACAATGATATAAGTGTGATTACATCCAAACAATATTTACTGCATGCAATACTTTTGCCTTTGGCTTCTCAATAGATGTGATCATGAACCAAAAAAAATTAATTCCCTAGTATATCTTTATCTATCCTCTTTATTTCTTAAATTCCTAAATAATTCACCTGTAACACTTTTAATGATGAGGCTTTTCTTCCTGACATACTCCTAGCTGTGGAACCTGGAACATATCCATCACTAGTCCTTGCTGAGTTGCATTAACTAATCCTCTAGCAATATTATCCAGCTTTGCTAGTATCTGTGTTGTCTCTATGTTCAGGATGGACTCAATCTTCTGGTTGCCTTGAACATTCTAACAAAAAAAAAAATCATAAATGTATTGGAATTTTTTTTAAAATTAGGAACAAATCTTTAATACATGTTGTAAAAGCATTTTTATACAGAAATTTATCAATATTATTCTCAAAGTAAAAGTTTGTAATACTATTGAGTTCCCATTTCTATACAATAAGCATAGAAATTAAATGATCAGGGATTAAGGTGCTCTCTGGTTGGACAAGACACCTTTTCCTTGGGCATTTTTTGGGCGTACCTCAGAGTGAGTTCACTTCAAATTAAAGTTCCAGGAGGTTTTGGGGTTTTCCCTCTTGACCACGTTGACCAACCATATATTTTTTTTTGACCAATCAAATTGGGCGTTTTAAAACGTGTCATTGTAAATGTTACCATGCTAGATACCAATGCACTAAACTACTTTCTTAGTAAATAGTTGAGTATCTATTGTTTAATAATATTTTTTCCACTTTTAAACATTTGATAAAGCTGATAAATTACAATCATAATTAGTGTTGGCAATGAGTAGCTGGTTAAGGACCCTCTCTACACCAGTGCAAAATATTTTTTGGACATTGAGAAAAATATATTGCATAAAGGAGCTTATATTGTGCTTATCTATCTAATTTTCAATGTATGGTGCGTGGCATTTACCCCCAGGAAAAATGTTCAAAGACAACACAGTATCAGTGAATAGATATCGCTGTTAATTACTTCAGTAGAGAAAATACATGTAAATAACACGTTCAGTTAATTTATCCTGGCCTTTTAAAATGTTGAGAATACTTAAATTGATTACAAATTGAGAAATATTGTGTAAATTTATATTTTTTAGAATTTAGTTCTAAGGGCAGATCATTCTAACTGCAGAAAAATACCTTAGAATCAGAACTCTTTAGTGTGCAGTGTAGAGAGGTTTCTTAACTGTCGAACGATGTGAGTATCGGTTAGTAAAACTGCTATTCAGTTACTCGGATAAAATGAATTCTCCATAGTAAAGGCATAGAAATGTTTAATAATTAATTTATAAATGTACCGGTATACTAACTTACATATTTCGCTAATTTTAGATACCATTAGACTATATCTAGTGCATGGTTGTAGTGGATTAAACTGTTTTGATTAGTGTTCACAGTTTATATAATTGATAGCTTTGATTTGTTGGGGTATATATCTTTTGAAGACCTGAGTTATACCTCATTTGATAATTTAACGAGATGCCGTCGCAGACATAATAAGCTTGGAGTTTACCAGAAGAACAGCTGATTCAAAATCTGTAAAATCACCTAATCTTAAAATATTCGGAAACCAGCGATTTACTGGAAACTCCACATACTGACTATTAATTATGGAGTATGTAAATAATTATTCTCCTTGATCATGTTGATTGCGACATATTTCGGGGGCTGAAAAGGAAAGTGTAAAATGGTGATTGACAATGATATATTTATTTGTCTTCTCGGTGTGTCGACTTCCTTATTTTCTTTATTTTAAAACAGTAAATCTTTGATGATATCGTATATTGTGTGTATTGTAAAAATAATGTCCATATACAGTATATTTGCAGATTACTATACCGATAAGTATAGAAAAAGATAAATAATAGATATTGATGTTTTCAACAAAAATCATCCGAGTAACCGGGTACTCGATTGGAAGATGAAGCGAGTAACCACTTAATAAAAATCATCCGATTTGCACACTAATCATAATGTGTTATTATACTATGCTTTAAATCATGAGTGTATACATTTGTTGGAGACAAGAACAAATGTGTCAAACATTTGGAAATTCAATAACATTAAATAACAATGTCGAATAAATTGGCTAACTTTTGAATCGCCTGCGGCCTCAGTAAACTAACATACTACATGTACATGGTCTATTGTCTCATACGATTTTGGTTTGTTTCTACGTCTATTTCAATGCACTCGATCCGTAATTTGAAAATAATCTATAATTACATGTATTTGTAAAATAAGATTAAATTTATTTTCAAAAAGTTAAAATTACAAGAATATGAACCCACCAAAAATTGTGTATGATCACCAGTACTGTTTTTGTGGTTTAATTTATTAAGGGTGTGATATTAACGTCACAACAAGAGGCCCAGGGGCCACAGCGCTCACCTGAGCACATCGGGCTTGAATTTACCCCCCCCCCCCCTCCAGGCGTTCATCATTTGAACAAACTAGAATCTACCTTACCTGAGGATGATTCCATATAAATATCACTAATCATGGCTTTGAAGTACTTGAAAAGAAGATTTTAAAAGGTTTCTCTATATATCCCTATGTAAAACTTGGGTCGGCCATTTTGGCCCCACCCTTGCCCCAGGGGTCATGATTTGAACAAACTTGAATCTACACTACCTGAGGATGATTCCACATGAGTTTCATCTTTCCTGGCTCAGTGGTTCTGGAGAAGGATTTTTAAAGATATTTCCTATATATTCCTATGTAAAACTCGGGTCGGCCATTTTGGCCCCACCCTTGCCCCAGGGGTCATGATTTGAACAACTTGAATCTACACTACCTGGGGATGATTCCACTTGAGTTTCATCTTTCCTGGCTCAGTGGTTCTGGAGAAGAAGATTTTAAAAGATTTTTCCTATATATTCCAAATCCAATGTAAAACTTGGGTCGGCCATTTTGGCCCCACCCTTGCCCCAGGGGTCATGATTTGAACAAACTTGAATCTACACTATCCGAGGATGATTCCACATGAGTTTCATCTTTCCTGGCTCAGTGGTTCTGGAGAAGAAGATTTTTTAAAGATTTTCCCTATATATTCCTATGTAAAACTAGGGTCGGCCATTTTGGCGCCACCCTTGCCCAGGGGTCATGATTTGAACAAACTTGAATCTACACTACCTGAGGATGATTCCACATGAGTTTCATTTTTCCTGGCCCAGTGGTTCTTGAGAAGAAGATTTTTAAAGATTTTTCCTATATATTCCTATGTAAAACTTGGGTCCGCCATTTTGGCCCCACCCTTGCCCCGGGGGTCATGATTTGAACAAATTTGAATCTACACTACCTGAGGATGCTTCCACATGAGTTTGATCTTTCCTGGCCCAGCGGTTCTGGAGAAGAAGATTTTTTAAAAATGCCATTAATTTTTAATAAATTCATGATTATCTCCCCTTGGCAAAGGGCGTGGCCCTTCATTTGAACAAACTTGAATCCCCTTTACCTAAGGATACTTTGTGCCAAGTTTGGTTGAAATTGGCCCAGTGGTTCTTGAGAAGAAGATGAAAATGTGAAAAGTTTACGACGACGACGACAACAACAACAACGACAACAACGCCAACAACGACAGACAACGGACAAATTTTGATCAGAAAAGCTCACTTGAGCCTTCGGCTCAGGTGAGCTAATAACTGTATCAGCCCTGCAGGTCTGATATGGATTTGCAGGGCTGATATAGGTTATCAGCCCCGCAAATCCATATCAGCCCTGCAGGGCTGATACGGCTATTGTGACGTCAGCCATATTGCATATGCAAAAAACCTGTATTTATTACTAAGTGTATAATAAAAAATATAATATTTGACTTTTGAGCAAGTTCAGCGTATAGATTTGATTTAGTGCATTTCATAAAGTTCTTCGTTATGAACATATGTGCAAGACATTTAGCATACTGTACTTGACTTAGCGGAAGTTTCTTTCCCCCCAAAGTGCTAAAAAGAATGCAAGCCAATTTCGCCAAATGTAATGTTAATATTAGTATAAAACTTTGTGCTTTCTAAAATATTGGATATCATACAATCAAAATTGTTTGAATCATTCGATTGTCACTAGTGTAAACATTGTTATACGTACCCGAAAAATCTAAATTGTGAGATTTAGAGCCTTCTCTACTCCCTTGCAAAAGAGCGGTAGTAAGAATTTATATCTGTGAGGTACTCGCGATACTACATGTAGGTGTTGTTCTATGAGGTCAATATTGGCATTCCGACTTTACAAATTTCTAACAAGTCTTACAGAAAACAGCTATAATGTACGTACGATGTACATAATTTATCCCAAACCAAAATATAGTCTAACCCAAATATAAACTATAAAAGCAATATAAACAGATGGACAAAAAGATGATTCTAGTATGTGAAGAGTGTAGCTATAGAGAATAAAAGCCAGTTGTCTTCTCCCCGTGGGGATCCGGGTTAGAATAGGTCCTCAGTACCCCCTTGCTTGTCGTAAAAGGCGACTAAATGGGGCGGTCCCTCGGATGAGACCGTATAAACCGAGGCCCCGTGTCACAGCAGGTGTGGCATGATAAAGATCCCTCCCTGCTCAAAGGCCCTGAGTGCCGAGCATAGGCCTAAATTTGCAGCCCTTCACCGGCAATGGTGACGTCTCCATATCAGTGAAATATTCTGGGGAGGGACGTTAAACAATATTCAATCAATCAATCCTCCCCGATCTGATGGTCGCATAAAAGTGGGTGTTTCCAAATATAAGCAAGATAATTTACAGCGGGATCGAAATGAAATAATTTAAGAATACATAAATAAACTTAATATACCACAATACATTAAACAAGTCAAATGATTCTTATTATAGCCTATGACTTTTCTGATAGAAAGGATACAAAAATTAAATACATGATGCACTCTGCTTTAAAAAAAGATATATCATATGATATACAATTATAGTTAACTCTTAAAAATTCAATTTAAAAGCTGTTTGTATATAAACAAACACACTAACAGTGAAATGAGAATTAAACCGAGGGAATTCGGAAAGGCTTATCCATGATCTGTCTAACAGGTATAAAGCGGTCGACATGAAACTACTTTGATGTAGTGTGTCTTTGTACAGACTTCAAGTCTCCAGAACATACATTGTAATTACACAATCGTTTCAAGGAATCAAACAAGGACGTTGTTTTTTTTTCAGTCCAAACCATGCCTTACCTGCTTCCTCAGTTCCTGAGTAAGCTGTTTACACCGGAAGTGTATAATGCCCTTATAGTACAATGTCCTGACTGATTATAATAAATAGTTTTTTGTCAATTTTGGTGCATACAGAATATCATTTTTAGTGGAAATAATAAATATTGTTATCTTCTATGAGAATCGTGGCAAAATGCACAATGAAGTATATAAACTTTTTATTGGACATAATAAAAAAAAAAAAAAGGGAGAGGGCTACATTATTGCAGCTAAATAAAATCGACAGAGGTATAATGTCCTGCTTTAGGATATAATGACCTGATTAAAAAAATCTTATATACACAAGTTTGCATGATTTTTATATTTTAGTTTAATTATATATCTTTTAACATGTTTAAGGATAATAATTATATAATTTAAAAAAAAATCATTAATAAAATTTGTTCAAGACGTACGTTTTTATCCATATTTTCTTTCTGAGCATTTTTATTCCAATGCCCATAACACATACAGGCCCTTAGACACATCAAATGTGATTTTTTTAAAAAAGAATGCAGTAAAATGATAATAATTAAGAAAAAATGGGGAAAATATAATTGTCACTTAATGAAATTATACTGTCATTTAAGTAATTTCAGTCCAAGTTTCTTTAATATAAACAACATGAAAACAATATATTATGTTTGATATTCAATTATTTGCTCTTTAGCAGTAGATAATTAAAAGTAGATAATAAGCAGATATTGTAACCCAATTATACCAAGAGATGAAAGATTTTGTATTAATTGTAAAAATGTCGTTGAAGATGACGTCATTTTTTATTTGTATGTCCTCTATATAAACAACTAAGAAGTGAATTTTGTACACTTTTTAATAATACATGTATATCTTATGAAATTCTTAATCCAGCAGATGTTAATTCTACAAGAAATATTTGTAACTTCATACGTGATGCATGTAATATAAGAAAATCTATGTGACTATATATTTTATATTTGTTTACTGTATGTATGACTTGCGCCACATGTGGTTTTTGTCAAATTGAATAAATAAAAAAAAATAAGTGCATTTTGAGTAAAATTGAGATTGGCTATTATTGTATTAAGTAATGCTTATATATTATAGGACAAGTGAAATATATTTATGATGAATTGATAACTACATTGTATGTTCTCTCTCAAGTAAAAGGGGGGGGGGTAAAATCAGATCTCACTTTTTGCTTTAATAATTGAAAAGAAAACAACACCAGAAATAGGTTGGTGAGCTCGACAAGAAGAAGGGGGTGGGTTGTTGAGGTGTTTGCTACAACCCGATCTTAGGTTTGGCTTTAAAAACAAATTAAGTTGCAGATCTCAAGAAGAAAGGGGGGGGGGGGGTAGTACAATCTGATCTCACTATTGGCTAAAAAAAAACTCACACATACAAACTACATTTCCATTTTCTCCAATTAAAGTGGACTGGATTTAGTTCAGTTAAAACTTAGTAAAGGTCATTTCATGTTGACATGAAATACAAAACACATTCGATTAATATACCTCACATTTGATGAATTTTAAACCATTGTGAAATGAATAGCATAAATTGTGTACTATTTCAAGAAAGAAAATCACATAAATAACTGTCTTTTCATTTCAACTGAGTACCCGATAGGCCTATGCAGCAATCGACACTGCCCCCTCCCCCCTTCAATACTTTGATGCAAGTTTCCTCGCACCATAATTTATCCAATAAGTAGATAACATACCGTTTTCCAGCATAAAAATCATCCTTATCAAAAGAATCTTGGATTCTGTGCACAGGCTTTCCTTTGTGTCTTCTTTTCCACATGTTTTTTTTGTATCCCGCTTCAACACAATTGGACTTCCGCTTTTTTTACACACGCGCATGCGTAATCTAGAAGTGTGTAACGTCAGAGATGTGTAAGTGAAGATGGCAACTTCAATCAACACGATATCTGTGTAATCATGTGTCCGATAAAACCCCGTAACTGGGACACGTTATTTTTTTGATATTTTTAGGATTTAGACATGTCAATTTTTCGTTTTCAACGAAAAAAAAGTTTGGGGACTTAAATCAAGTCCCCAATGTTTTTTATGTCCCCATTTTACGACTTGCGTATCTGTAGCAGGTCCCCAGTATGGGGGAGCCACACACGCACACACACACAAACACACACACACGAAATAGGATTTTCGAGTTTGTGGAACTTTCAATCTTTCTTTATTTTCTTTCTTTCTTTTTTCTTCTTTTTTTTTTCTTTTGTCAAAGAATTTCTGGAGTTGAGCCCCCCACTTTTAAGTTTGTGACGATACGCCTCTGATCTGGTTGCCGTTCGATAGGCTACTAGCCAGGTCTTTTACTGTGGAATTAATTTGAGTCTCAAATGATCGCTTACTACGAAATCCGTCTTTACTGATGTTAGGATAAAATTCCTTTCAAACTGGTCCAAGATATTGGAATGCAAAATGTGTTCCAAGATCTTGAAGCAGATTGACGTTAGTGATACAGGACGGTAATTAACCGCTGAACTCTTGTCGCCTTTCTTAAAAATAGGGACAACATGGGCCACCTTCCAGTCATCTTGCACACTTCCGCCATTAAGAGACATGTGGAAAAAAGTCAATGCCGATGTTTACAATCTCCTCTGCCAGTTCCTTCTGAAAACGTGCTGGTATGGCATCTGGTCCGGTAGTCCTGTGTGGTTGAACGTTAAGGAATAATTCCTTGAGATAATATAATCCTTCAGGTTTCTGGCCAAGACCCATAGAACCATTTCTTTTCAAACACAGCTCCAAACCCCAGAGAACCACAACACAAAAAACAAGAGGCCCAAGGGCCACATCGCTCACCTGAGCACATCTACTAGGAAAAAGCACAGATCAGATCAAAACTGAAAGTTTACTGGGGGAGGGGGGGGGGGGCTTGAATTTTAACCCTCCTGGGTGTTATGATTTGAACAATGTACAATCTACACTACCTGAGGATGATTCCATATAAATAGAAAAATATCACTAATCATGGCTTTGAAGTACTTGAAAAGAAGATTTTAAAAGGTTTCCCTATATATCCTTATGTACAAATTTGGTCAGCCATTTTGGGCCCAAAACTAGCCCCAGAGGTCATGATTTGAACAAGCTTGAATCTTCACTAACTGAGGATGATTCCACATACCCGGTAAGTTTTGTCTTTCCTGGCCCAAAGGTTCTTCATCAGAAGATTTTTAAAGTTTTTCCTATATATTCCTATGTAAAACTTTGGTCAGCCATTTTGGCCCCATCCTAGCCCCGGGGGTCATGATTTAAGCAAACTTGAATCTACAATACCTGAGGATGATTCCACATGAGTTTCATCTTTCCTGGCATAGTGGTTGTTGAGAAGAAGATTTTTAAAGATTTTTTCTATATATTCCTATGTAAAACTTTGGTCGGCCATTCTGGCCCCACCCTAGCCCCAGGGGTCATGATTTGAACAAACTTGAATCTACACTAACTGAGGATAATTTCATTTAAGTTTCATATTTCCTTTCTCAATGATTCTAAAGAAGAAGATTTTTAAAAGATTTTTCCTATATATTCCTATGTAAAACTTTGGTCGGCCATTTTGGCCCCACCCTAGCCCCGGGGGTTATGATTTGAATAAACTTGAATCTACACTACCTGATGATGATTCCACATGAGTTTCATCTTTCCTGGCTTAGTGGTTCTTAAGAAGAAGATATTTAAAGATTTTTCCTATATATTCCTATGTAAAACTTTGGTCGGCCATTTATGCCCCACCCTAGCCCCAGGGGTCATGATTTGAACAAACTTGAATGTACACTACCTGAGGATGATTCCACATGAGTTTCATCTTTCCTGGCCCAGTGGTTCTTAAGAAGAAGATTTTTACAGATTTTTTCCTATATATTCCTATGTAAAACTTTGGTCGGCCATTCTGGCCCCACCCTAGCCCCAGGGGTCATGATTTGAACAAACTTGAATCTACACTAACTGAGGATAATTTCATTTAAGTTTCATATTTCCTTTCTCAATGATTCTAAAGAAGAAGATTTTTAAAAGATTTTTCCTATATATTCCTATGTAAAACTTTGGTCGGCCATTTTGGCCCCACCCTAGCCCCGGGGGTCATGATTTGAACAAACTTGAATCTACACTACCTGAGGATGATTCCACATGAGTTTCATCTTTCCTGGCCCAGTGGTTCTTGAGAAGAAGATTTTTTTAAATGATATTAATTTTTCACTAATTCATAATTATCTCCCCTTGGAAGAGGGCTTGGCCCTTCATTTGAACAATCGTGAATCCCCTTCACCTAGGGATACTTTGTGCCAAGTTTGGTTGAAATTGGCCCAGTGGTACTTGAGAAGAAGATGAAAATGTGAAAAGTTTACGACAACGACAACGACAGACGACGGACAAATTTTGATCAGAAAAGCTCACTTGAGCCTTCGGCTAAAACTGTCCAGCTGGAAGCTTGAGTACACCACATGAATTGATGGTTATGCTGTCCATTGTCAGTAATGGGCTGGAACCCTTGTCTGGAGCTTGGCTAATATACTTCGTTGTAAATAGGGATTTAAACTACATGTTCATTTAAGATATTCCCTTGGCTTCTTGGTCGCTGGTTATGAGTCCATCAGTATTCCGTAATGGTGCTACACAAGAGCCTTCTTGTTTTTTGTTGTTTTTTTTTTGTTTGCTTTTAATAAATGACCAGAACTTCTTGATATTTTCTGAGATGCTGGGGGTGATGATGTCATTCACGTATTGTTGGTAAGCAAGACGAATAGTACGCTCACCTGGCAATCTGACTCCAAAGACTGGTACCTTTTCTTGTCACGCTGCTTCTTTGCTTGGCTTTGTGGATTGCACGTAGTTTCTTGCGTGCTAGACGCCTGCTAGCTGTATAGATGCAAGGGTTTGATGCCCTGGTTCGTGTTAGCCTGTGAGGAACATGTCGGTTCATGATGCTAATTGTGGTGTCTGAAGAGGTTCCAGTGAGTATCAACAGAAGTGAAAGGTCTGCTGATGAAGTACTAGTCTTGTACAAAGTTG